CAAAATCAGATTGGGCCTGTTTGGAAGTGAGATGATCTGGAGGCAGCAAAGCACAGAGGTGTCCTGGTCCCTCCCAGGATGTGTGTGAGCCCTGGGAGCCCGCCAGCGATGCCGAGCGATATCGGATACGGCACAGAGCATCCAGGAGTCTTGGCTCAGGCCACGAGGAGCACAGAGTGAGAGACAGCTCTTGGCAGGCTCAGCTCACATGATAAGGTCATTGGAAAGACAAGTGATGCTTTCATCAACCTGCCTCTCCCCAGAATCAGCACCAGCTCAAGCAAGGGTCTGTGCTCCTGTAATATCCTGTGCTCCATGTAGTGCCAAGGACAAAAGCTTCCTCACAAAGAGGTTGAAGGTTCTTTTCCCAACCAGTGTCCCAGCCCCCAACTCCCATCGTTCCTGGCCCTGTCAGGTTCCAGTTTTGAACAGCACCCCTTGGAAAGGTAATTTTCTCTCTGAATCAGTGGCACCTCTCAAGCTGAAGGGAGAGCAGGCTGTAGTTGCTGGCTCTCTGCTGCTTCGCAGCAGTTACAATTTGGGATCTTGTGGTTTTGTCCTTTGTTGGAGTAGCACATGCTGACTATTCTGGAGAGCATCAATCCCAAAAGCTGCCTGAAGCCTGGGCTGACAGGTTGGTAGTAGCAGCCAAGCTCTCTCATGGAACCAGTTTGTGGCTGGGGGAGGTCCCAGAGCAGTGTTCCTGACCATCCCTAGCCCAGCTCCTTGGAGCGGTAGGGCTGGATCTTTGCCATCCTTTCACCAAGAACCTTTTTGGCATGGCACCATGAACAGATGGGCCATGGAGCAATTCCTCAGCTCAGATTGTCCACAGGCTGCCCTGGACCCTGCCTGGAGCTCTCTGAGAACATCTGAAGGGAACAGCACTCGCTGGCAGGGCTTACGTGCTCCGGCAATTGGGGATTGCAAACACATGCTTCAGTTATGCAAGAAATCTTTGACTTGTTCTGAATGCAATTCTGCCTGGGTTTCTTCCCAGGAACATTCCTGTTCTTCACAATTTACCAGTTGCAGGAAGGGAGAAGGGAGAAGGGGGGATTTTAGGCGTAAGGGAGAGGAAAGGGAGCAAATCTCATGGTGCTTTCCCTCGCCAAATTTCTCCAGGAGGACAGGGTGTGGAGCATGGACTCCGGAGTCTGGGACAATCCCAAGAAAATATGAATTACAAAATTAAAACCACTTTTAATTAGTCATTTGTTTTTATAGAAAGAATGAGTCTGTTTTTCTGAAGTAATTCAGTGCCTGCTATCACACACACCAGGCAGCCCCTGCCAAATGGAGCTGTGTGATAGAAGGCAAGCCCAGAATGAGGGCTCTGAGCAGAGACACCTTATCTCCTCCAGGAGACAGCAGTGCCATTCAGATCTGCATTCTGCTTCCCCAGATAAAAGTGCCACTCCTGAGTCACTGCATACGTGAGAGAGATGCAAATGTAGTCCCCGTAGGTGGGAGTAATTTGATGTCTGAGATGAATGATGAAGCTGGGCCTTTATCGTCACACCTGCTCTGCTCCAGACAAGAGAGGAAGCGTGAGAGGGTGGAGGCAGGAGCTGCTTCTGCCCTGGGAGAAGCCAGAGATGCAGGGTACCCAGCTCCTCACACCCTGACTCCAGGTGACACAAATCTCTCTTCCCAAGGAGGGACACAGTGGCTGTCATCCGTGGGGGGCTGGGCTCACACTGCGCTGGGAGGGGGAGCGCTGTACCAGGCTGGCCCTGAGCAGGATGTCCCTGCAGAGAAGGTGTCACACGGGCTCTGTGCTCCTTTCCAGATGTCACCTGAACCATCAGCTCCTTGCTGCAGCCCGAGACCCTTCCAGGGCAGTCAGTTACAGGGCTTGTGCTCCATGGCAAAGCCTGGGACCTGCTGAGCTACACGAGCTCCAAGGGGAGAAAGCCTTAAAAGAGACAAGGTGTAACCTGATGCTACCAAACATGCACTCTGAGTAACCTCCACAGCTCAATTGACTCCATTAAGTATTTACCTATAATTAATTTAATTTGGTTGAGGTTTTCTCCCCTGTGTTGGGTGCCTACTGTATCAACCTCTTAAAATTATGGCTGTGTGTATAATTCAGTCAAATGTACATGCAGTACCCACAGAAGCTGAGTCACTGCAGGTACCAGGCAGAGGTTTATTTTGTTGTGTTTGGCTCGTGCTTCTGACTTAACACAGGGGTAACTCCACTAAAATTGGTTGTGCTGCATTAGTCCAAAGCCAGAGCAGAGCCCAGCTTTTATTCATTATTTGCAAGAGAGACATCATAATTTCTATAATGCCATGTCCAGAGTATGGGTGGGGTTTGCTCCAGCTGCCTTCCCAGTCTCCCACTGGGGAACAATGAAATGAAGGTAAAAAGGAATATCCATCTTTTTCTCTTTTTGTGTGTATAATTCCAGCAGATTCCTATTGCCTCACAGTGCTGTGTAGGAACCTTTCCCAGATATCTGCTGAATTAAACAGGAGTGATTGGTTGATTCTGAGGAGATGCTCAAGAAGTTTTTCCTGAAGTTACCCTTTTCCCAAGGGTGGAGAGCAGCCTGTGACTGAGTGAGAGGTTTTATTGCACAGCTTAGAATGCAGCTGAAAGAGAAGCACAGAACAACACAGGGAAATGTGTGTCTGACACTTCTCACACTTCTGAAGTGAGCCTGAGGAAAGAGGGACAAATCCCAAGTGATGAGGAAAACTGCAGTTCTGGGTCTGAGCAAGAGCTCCCAGGAATCACAGGGACACAGGAGAAGAGCCCTGTTCTAGATTATTTGGAGATTCCCAGCCAAGACCTTCATGAAAGTTTTGATTCTTTCTTACAGGGATTAAGTCTGGGAAGCAGCTGGCATGGATGTGAATTCCAGCTGGTGCCCAGCACCATGGACACTCTGTGGATTGAGTGCAAATGAGCAGACTCAGCTGTCACCCTCTGCACTGATCTCAGCCAGGGCAGGAGGATTCTTCCTGAAATTCAGGGCACTAATGACCCTTGTGGTGGTTAAGTGCAGATAATGACTGAACCATTGAGCTCTCAGACAGACTCTGCTTGTTTGGGGCTGTGCAGCTCTCACAATCTGTCTGCTAACTACAAAAATATTCCAATTATTTGGAATTATGACATCACCCATGCAATTGACCCAGATCCAACATCAGCACTCCCACAAAACAGTTATTTCTTGTTAAACACTATCGAGGACAGTAATCTAGCCCAGACTGAGCCCAGACAGCAAAGCCTGGTTGATTCCCCCAAATTTCCAGCATTTCCTCAGCAGTTTATTTTCCCGGTTCAACAGGGTAGCCTGAGTAACCTGGATCTGTTTGACAAAACGTGATTGTTGCTTGTAGCTTTTGAACTTCAGTAGTCACAGAGAGGCTCGCAGTTTATTTTCCCGGTTCAACAGGGTAGCCTGAGTAACCTGGATCTGTTTGACAAAACGTGATAAGCTTGTAGCTTTTGAACCTCACTAGTCACAGAGAGGCTTCAAGTGGCTCAGGAAAGGCATTTTGGTACCTTTCATCTGCTCCCCATGCTTGTAAAGCCCTCACCAGCACACTAAATCCATCATCTGTCGGGCCACAAAGCTGCCTGAGCCCAAAGTCATCTGCTCCTGGGACGATCTGGCCCAGGGATGGAGGGAAGGAAATCCTGCTGGGAGATGGGGAGCTGGCTCAGCCACAGTCCTGCCTGGCCACTCTCCCAGCACCCTTCCATCCCTGCCAAAATCCCTCAGTCCCACCAAGGTGTGTGGGCAGGTAAGGGCTGTGAAGAACAGCTGTTGCTTAAAGAAATTCTTGATGCTTGAGGAGCCTTCTTTCCTCTCACTGTGTCACATTTACCAGCTGATGATGTAGCTTGTCCAGGGGTAGCCAGAGCTGGAGAGGAAATGCCCTCCCCTCATGCCTGCAGCACTGGGGGTGCACAGGGGAAGGCAAAGGGATGGCCAACGACTGCACTCAGCTTTAATTTCATTTAAAAGCAGGTTTGTCCATCACCTGTAGGGCACGGAGCAGCCAGGCCTGGGGCTGAGCCAAACCCAGGCTGCCGCTGCAGGAGATGTTCACCCCGCCGAATTCTGACAGCTGGCAAGGAGGGCATCATTCCTCCTGTCCCTGCACCCCAAAAAAGCTTTGAATGTGGGACTTGCTAGCAGCGTGTCCTGAGCTTGCTTTTTAAACATCAGCCGTGAGTCAGGGGGGGCCAAGGCAAACACAGAGTGTGGAGCACGGCTGGTCAGCTCTGCAGGCACCCACAGAAATACCGACAGTGTCAAACTGACATATTGTAATGTGGCATATTGTAATAGGGACACACTGTAATAGGGACACACCGTAATATGGACACAGTGTAATATGGACACATATTACATCTGTTAACATATTGTAATAGGGACACACTGTAATAGGGACACACCGTAATATGGACACATTACATCTGTTATTACATGCTGATGATGTAATAACTGAGATGTTAGTGTAACACGGGGCTGTGCAGGTGTGTGACGTGACCCCTTGTACCAGTGTGTGACGTGTCCTCGGACAGTGGCACCTCGCCCGTGGTTGTACAGGTGTGTGACATGGCCTGTTGTACAGGTGAGTGACATCACCCGTCGTTCAGGTGTGTGACCTGACCCATTGAACCGGCGTGTGACGTGTCCCGGGGCAGTGGCACCTCACCCGGGGCTATGCAGGTTGTGTGAGGTGTCCCTGTGTGCAGGTGTGCAGTGTCCCCCTGTTCAGGTGTGTGACCTCACCCCTGTTCAGGTGTGTGCAGTGTCCCTCGTTCGGGTGTGTGACTCGGTCCCGTCCCGGCCGGAACGGGGCCGCGGGCCCTTTAAGCGAGGCCCCGCCCTCTGCCCGTCCCGGCCCCGCCCGCTCAGCCCCTCCCTCCTCATCGCCCATCCCGAGCTCCCATTGGCTGGGCGGTGCTGAGGTCCCGCCTTCCGGCGCCGCCAGCCAATGGGAGGAGCGCTGGGCGAGACCGTGGCCAGGTTGGTGCGGGGCCGATGGCGGCGGGTCCGTGAGGGGAGCGCTGGGAGGGGGGTGGGAACCGGGACGTCCTGAGGGGAACGGGGCCCTTGGGGGCAGCGGGACACCCGGAGGGGAGCGGGGCCCCAGTGGGGAGCGGGATACTCTGAGGGGATCCGGACCCTCCTCAAGTGATGAGGGCGTTGGGGTCGCCTGAAGCGCTGAGGGCAGCGAGACGCTGTGAGGGGAGCGGGACCCCCGAGGCGCCGAGGGCAGCGGGAGCTGAGGGGAGCGGGACCCCCGAGGTGCCGAGGGCAGCGGGGCGCGCTGAGGGACGAAGGACTCTCCCGAAATGCTGAGGGGACCGGGCTCCCTTGAGGGCATGGGGATCCCCCTGAAGTGCTGGCGAGGTCGGGCCCCCAGAGGACAGCTCGGCAGCCCCTGAGCAGGGAGCTGTGCCGGGGGAGGCCGGGGTGTCCCACGGCAGCCTCCAGCCTGGTCCTGCGTGTTGAACTCCCTCGGCACAGCCGAGCCCAGCCCGCAGCTCTGGGTGCCGTGCCCGGGGCCACGGAAATGCCATTAAATCGTAGTGATTTCACCTGAAGAATGCCTTGGGGGTAGATGGAGAACGTTAAGGTCAAGGATCCATAACAGTGTGGGGTTTTCTTACCTATACCTCATCCTGACAACAAATTGTGGAGCTGAGGATTTAAGAAAAAAACCAAACCAACCCGAACTTTCAGCTGTAGGCTGAGCAATAATTAAAGTGCTCAGGCAGGTTCTAGTTGTCATGCAGCAAAATGAAGCCTTGTTTTTCGGGTTGAAGTTAAGCGTAGCATGAGCTGTCCTTATTTAAAAAAAAAAAAGTTTTCTTCCAAGAACTTAAATGGGGATTCCTAAAGTGTAGAGAGCTAAGGACGTATAAAAAGGATTACTTTGTTCAGTTTTTCATGTCTGTTGGTAGACCTGATGTATGTTTTGACCATAATTGAAGATAGTTCGCCCAAGTGACTGTGTTTCTCTTTTAACAAAATTATAGAATGTAGCATTTAAAATGTTGAACAACATACTTATAAAGTGGTTTGTTCACAGGTAGACCAAAAAAAAAAAAACCAAAAAAAAGGGAAAAAAATCCTGATTGCTGCAGTTTGAGTATGTAACTTTTCTAATATTGCTGGTAGAATGACACTTCTGGATTTGCCCCTTTGTGTAGTGAGTGTTCACACCTGCCAGCTTTCTGTGCATTCTCTGAATCCTTCACGCTGAGAGCTAAACTCTGGTCTTGAGGAAACTGAAAGTGTCTGGGTTCTGTTGCAGGTGCTGCTGCTGTGGAAGATGAGGCTGCATGAGAGCCGGACAAGGCCCTTCCAGGCTCCTGCCGCTGTGCACAGCTTCCCGGGCAGGCAGGTGTTCGTGTTCCCCCATGGCCGCCCGGACTCGGAGGAGGAGTCCGAGGAGGAGGAGGAGCTCAACGTGATGGAGCTGCGGCCCAGGGGCAAGGAGCAGCAGCGGGGCAGCGCCCGGGCCAGGCTGGGGGACGTGGTGCTCCTGGAGAGGGAGCTCACCGAGGAGGACAGCCTCAACAAGCTGGCCCTGCAGTACGGCTGTAAGGTGAGGGTTAGCCACCCCGGGGCTTTCACGTGCAGCGGCTTCCAGAGGCGTCCTGTGGTCTGCTGGCTCTGACAGGTGTCAGCCCTGTGTGTTGTGTGGATGGTCACTGTCTGGGTAAAACTGGAGACAGGCAGAAATAACCCCAGACAAACACAAAAAGGAGTTGTTCAGCCAACAGGCTGGGACCATGCTGTCAGCCTCACACCCTGCCTGACCTGCTTTCCTGTTTAATTTCGGTGACTAAGTGCAGGTTGTACCAAGTTATTTCAGTGAGGGCAAACATTAGGGAGCTGACTGTAGAAATGAGGGCCAGGGCTGTGCTCTCAAGGAACATTGGAGTTTTTGAAGCAAATTGAGCAGTACAAAGAGACACCACAGTTATAGGTGAGGTCTTTTGTTTATTTTTTTAAAGGTATCAGCTTACATTTTCCAAGTAAGGTCTGAGTCTAACAGGGGTGGATGTGGAGAGGTGCCAAAGTTCAGTCCCAAAGTCCAGGTGGTGTCTGTGTTTGGGTTTTGGTTGTTTGCTGTCATCCCAAAGCGTGCACTGTTGAGGTGCCTGTGGGCAGGAGGGAGGGCGTGTGCACAGTGAGATTTCTGAGTTGGAACAACTACACAGCACGTTTTCTTTGTTCCAGAAAAGAGCAAAACTGCTGGAACGTTTAATTACCTGCTCTGAACATTGGAAGCCCCCCGTTGTTTAGCAGTTGGAGCTGTGTTTTTAGAGCCCCCTTTATCTGCAAGCTGGGCTGTGATTTCAGAGCTCCATGATGAAACAATTGGCCAGCGACCGCAGCAGGGATAATGATACAGCTCTGGCTCCAGTGCTGCCCTGCCAGTGCAGGCTTGCTTAACCACACAGCAGCTGTATGGTGCAGCTGAGGCAAGAGGCCTTAGAGGGATTGCAGCAATTCCTCCCCTCCCATGCCCTTAGAAACAAAAACAAAACAAGAAAGGCACCCATGTGTGTTCTGCTGACGAGCCTGATGCGAGTCTGGTAGGACTTGAATAGGCCTTGATTGGTCCCAGGAGAGCCTGAGAAGGCAGAGCTGAGCTTTGCTTGGGTTTAGAGCTGTGTGCTGCTCTCAGCAGCACCTGGGCAGACTCACAGCAGTTGGGAAGATTGTAAAGAGTTCTTTGGTTTATGAAGAGTCCTGCTGTGCCGCTGCACTGTCACCCAGTTCTGTGGCTGCACTGTCACCCTGCTGTGGCTGCTCCTCTGCTGCCCCACTCCCAGAGCCTTTCAGCCCCTCTGGAGGCTGCTGGGCCTGCCAGGGGAAAAGCAAACTGATGGAAGGGACCACATAGCCAGTGTTCTCCTCCCTCAGGACAAAAACTGTGCTGCTGCCTCCCTCCATTCCAGAGAGGGCACTTCTGACTTGTTCCAGTTAAACTGAAATCCTTATTGTAGGAAATTTGTCTCTTTAAAGACTGGCATGACAGTTTTCATGTGTTTTATTTTATTTGCACAATTAAACAGCTCCTGAAAGGTCGCCAGGACAGCAGTGAGAACTGTAACCACAGATATATAGGGAAATGTGTGTAAAAATCCAGGATGAACTTCTCCTTGAAATGAATGAGAACTTGACATTGGTTTCAGAATCTGCTTGGGAAGGGGATAGTAAGACAGTGCAACAAATAGCTCTGTGTGTGTGCCACAGATAACTTGGCAGAGATGCAAAGCACTTCAAAATTCTCATTTTTACTCTTGACCATTTATAGTCCTGGCTTGCTTTTGGCATTGTTCTTAGGCTGGGACAAGAGGAGCTCGCTGCAGCCAAAAAATTGAGTACAGAAAATAAGCCCAAATGCTTGTGCAGCCCAATCTCTTGCATGCTTCCCATCAGCTTTGTTTGTTGTTTCTGTGTGAGTGCTGCTCCACTTTCTGTTTCTAGAGTCTTAGCACCACACTGCAGTATTTGATTGCAGACACCACGGGGGATATTTACTGTCCCAGTAATTTGTTTTCATTGGAACAAATCCAGAAATTGAAGCAGCACCTCAGTTAGGAGGCTCTGGGTGAGATTGTTATTTCATAACTAAGAAATTTTGCAGGGTTTAAGTCCAGAGCTGACACTGGAGCTGCTGTGAGGACCCCAAAGCAGTGACTGAGGATTCCTTTTGCCTCAGGGTCCCCAGATCAGGTTCTGGATTAAGTGTGCCATTTTCAGAGTTCTGAAGCTTTGCAGAGTAAACGGGAGATTCAGGCCTCCATCTCCTCTCCTCTCCACCTCTGAGCAGAGTGCTTGGGAAGTAAAGTGGGTTTTTTTGTTTTAGCTCCCCAGTTTCCTTGGCAGCCTCAAGCAAGTGTGCAGTGAATGCAGGTCATGTGATTTCTGAAGAGCAAAGCACAGTCCCTGTGCTGTGTCTGTCTGCTGTGATGGATGAGAGGTGCTTTACCTGTTTGTGTTGCCTTTCTCTTTGCTTTGGCTCCTGCTGTTTTGTTTTGTGCCCTCCGGCCTTTTCCTCAAGGTTCTTTCCCATCTCCTTGGCTGCAGCAGAGAGCTCCTGGCACACACAGACATCCTGTTCCTTTCCTTTGACAGAGGGTTTAGTGCAACTGAGAAGCTGCTGTGCTTGCTGGGTGGCTGTGAGTGGCCACTGGATGAAGCATCTTCTCTTAGTTAATGTTAAATAAGGATGCTGCCTGGCCTTTGTATCGGCGCTGCCTGTCCCTGTGTCTGATGCTGCACCTGTGGCTGCTTCTCCCTTGCTCTTCCTGCTGCTGCGTGGGGACACAGCTCACAGACAGGAGCCACCAAAGGTGGTGACAGGAGCACAGAGGTGATTGTCCTTCAGCAGGACATGCTCAGGAGGAATGGGCTGGATGAGCTGCTGTCCTGCAGAAGAGAGGTGTTCCTTGAGCAGAGGATGCTCGTGCCTGTGTGGGAGATCCTCACCTGCTCTCCAGGCTGTGCCCTTGCTTTCAGAATGTTGTGCTCCCAAACTGGAGCTCTGATCACTCTGGAATCATTCCTGAGCAGGAGATGCTCACACTGGTGTTGTGCTGTCACCTGAAGCACTCGTGTGTAAGGTGTGAAAATAGTTTCTTAAAGGATCTGTTAGTTAAAAAGATTCTTCTTGCCTTAACTGAGAGAAGGGCGAAAAAGGCAAAGGCAAGGAAAAGCAGTATGGAGCAAAATACAGCAGGTACAAGAGGTGGAGGTTGTAGACTGGTTTAATGGGGACTGACTATCCTGCAGGGCCTGGAGCACCCCTGGAACTGCTGGGGAACCTCGCAGAACATCAAACCACTTGCATCCAGGGCCTGCCTTTATTCCCTGATGGCTCCTGGCACGCTGGCTTTGTAGCTGCTTCCTGCCTCACTCCTGGGCTGTCCTGCCCTCACTGTTTGTGTCCTTTCTGGATTCCTTAGGTTGCAGATATCAAACGCGTCAACAACTTCATCCGTGAGCAGGACCTGTACGCGCTGAAGTCCATCAAGATCCCGGTGCGGCCGCACGGGCTGCTCACGGAGAGCGCCGGGGCCCCGCGGCCGCCCCCGGCGGGGCCCGCCCAGCCCGGCCTGACGCGCGTGGAGCCGCCGGAGCCCGACCCCGGTGCAGGGGGCTCCGCTGGCGGCCGGCGTCTCAGTGAGTACTTCAGGGGCATCGACCAGAGCATCCAGGACGCCGTGCAGGTGGAGGTGCAGCTGAACGCGGAGTACGGCGGGGAGGGGCTGCAGAGGCCGCCGCCCGAGGCGGGGAAGCGGGACGCTGGGAACGGTGCGGACTGCGGAATCCAGTGGTGGAACGCCGTCTTCATTATGCTCCTGATAGGAATCGTCCTGCCGGTGTTTTATATCATCTATTTTAAAACACAAGGCCTGGTGGCCCACAGCTCTAACATGACAAACTCAAATGTTTCAACAGCTGGATAGGAAGGAGAATTACCACAAGGCTCAGTCGTAGGAAAAAAATCCTAAAGTGAAAGGACAGCCCACTCCAGCCTCTCCAGCAGTGATGCCCGTATGCTTGTGACTGACTCAAGTGCACCCAAGGGGATAAGACAATACAGATTATTTTTATAAGTAGCTGATGATGTAATCCTGAATTTGACTGAAAATTAGGTGATGTGATTTTGATAGGAAAACAAGGATGCTTTGTTGCTTACAGAGATCATCACCCAGGTGGCTTCACAGTTGGGAACTCTGCTGAGGGAAAGTATTTTGTAGCAATTTACTCATTATGGTTGCTTCAGGTATTTCTTAATGCCGTGTCTAGAAGCAAATTCTTTGCTGCTGAGCTAGAGAGTGCAGTATTAATGTGGCTGGAAAGTTGGGAGTTGGTTGCATTTTAAAGAAACACTTTTTGCTGGAAGTGGGGGGACACTTTTTCTCAGAAGTGTCATTTTTGTTTCTTGCAGACCGTGGTGGTTTTGGCCTGCTTGACCCTAGTGCTGCCTTCTGGGGCTCTAAGCTGGGTGTGCCAGGGCACAGTGATGCTGCCAGCACCCCACCTTGTCACCCCTGTGAGCAAACCTTTGAGCTGTGTTCAATTAGGATGCATCAGGGCCACCCCTGGGAAGGGTGAGCCCAGACCTCTTTCCCTCAGTGAAATCCTTCAGAGATGGCTCCTGAGATCAGAGCTCTCCGTGCAGGATCTGTGCTGTCCCAGCGTGCTGCTCAGCCCTGCGTGGCCCCAGGTGGGCAGGGGGTGTTGGATGATGACAGGAGAGCACGAGAGAGGAGTCACAGGCACTTCTCAAGGGCTCGTTTTCTGCCAGGAGGGCTAGTCAGTATTATTTGCTAAAAAAACTAATAATAGTCTGTAGTGGTGCTTCTCAGACACCCAGGCTCAGTCATGGAATTACTTCCTTGTGTGCAGTCTGAGTGGGAGTGAAGTGGGAGCTGGGTGCAGGTTGCAAGGTCCAGGACAGAAGTCCAAGAAGGGTGAAGCCTTTCTAGGAGAGCACCGTGAAGCTGCTGGTTGTGAGTTTCTGTGAACTGACCACGTGCACTGAAAAGCTTCGCAGGGCAGTGGAGGTGTTGGTCAGCCCCAGGGCTGTGCTCTTCAGTCACTCAGCAAACACTGCCTTCCGCAAGGGAGCAGCAAGGGAGGCCTTGGGAGCTTTGCTAAAGAGAAGAACTTCCCTCAGAAATTTGATTCAGCAAATTCTGGGCCCGTGGGCAGAGGTAAAGGCTTTCCTGGAACCAACCACTAAATGTGTGGGCAGGTGCTGTTGGTGCTGAGGGTGAGGGCAGTGCTGGTGGGCAGGGGCAGGAAGCTGCTGTTCATCATCCCCACCTCAGCCCAGCCCCGTCTGCACCTTCCCTGCTGCCAGCAGGACCACAGGGCTTTTCCAGCTTCCCCTGGCAGCCTGAGGCCGGCTGGGGCAGAGCAGGGGCTGTGGTACAAGCACCTGCTGTGCAGGTGTGGCTCAGCCTGGCCCGAAGGACTGCCTCTGCCTGGACAGGGAGGATTGAAGCTTCTCCAGCAAGGTGAGGACCCTGCACCACTCATTCACAACCGTGTGCTGCTACAATGAGAACCTGCGTTCCCTGCAGCTCTCAAAAGTGGGAACCTAATTTTGTTAATGAACACTCCAAAGTATCTTCTATTGAACAAAATCTTGTATTTTTCTTCTGTGAAGAGCTGTACCTCTGTTCTGGGGAGAGGGTGGGACCAGGTTCTTACATTTTTAAATAAAGCCACATGAAATGAAAGCACAAGGGGCACAGCTTGTGCTTTATTTGCTACCACACAGCTGAGCACCTGCCTTGGAAGGAGGGGCCCCTTGCAGCCTCACCTCAGCCTCTGCAGAGAGCAGGAGGAGCAGCAGGAGGAACCGGGGCTGAGGCAGGACTGGCCTTGGGCTCTCCACTCTCCATGGAGCCTGGGTCATCTGCCAGTTTCTCCATGTTTTACAGAAAGGTTCTTAGCAGGCATCAGTCCTTGAGTGCAGGAACAAGTGTGTGTGCATCCCTGCTGCTGACATCCTCGTGGCTGCAGTTAAGAACCAACACCTGGCACCTGGCCTGGCAGCTGCAGGGGGCAAGGACGGGCCGGGACGAGTGCTCTGCAAACACGAGAGAGGCCGGAGTACACAGTAAAAGCCAGTATCTTTACTTTAGTGAATGCAGGATACAAATATTTTACAACAACCTCTAGCATTTTCTTAACCATTTGATAAAAAGTTCACTAGAATATTTATTGTATATTGAAGAAAAAACAACACATTCAGGGAAAAAAATTGAGATTAACTTATTTTTTTTCTTAAAAGATTCGTCTCAAGGATGGCAACAAAGTCCAGCTTGTGCCGCCAAACGGCTTATCAGCATTAAACCGTGAACAGCTTCTTGTGAACTGTTGACTACAAACATTTACCAAATACATAAATCTCTTTTAAAAAAGCCATTTTAAATATAGCAAAGCAGTGTTCTCTTGCACAGCAAAGTGAAGAAAGGTTCTACTAAGATTTAAATGTTTACATTGGTTAAGTCTTTCTTTCACATTCGGATTTAACTTCTGCCCAGGATCAATTGTTAGGAGTTGTTTTGTTCCTTATTTACTATGTATTTCTTGTGCGCACAGTAACTCGCAAGTTTCTGATGCATTAGTGTCCTTGGAGGGAAGGCAAGGCTAAAGCAGTTCTCTCTGACGAGTCCCTGACAACGTGGCGTTCTCAAAACTATCGTGAGAGCTCGAGGATGGAGGTGATTTGTCACAACAGAGATAAAAATCTTAAATCGTTCAGACCTGACTGGGTTCAGCCCAGGATTGGATCCACTTGCACTTCAGTCAGCAGAGATAATTTTAAAAAGTTTTTTTTTTTTAACATGTTGAAATATCTGTGCTATGTCATCTCTTTTTTTTTTAATATAAAACATTTTTACAATTTCTAAAAAAGTATGTTTCAAAGTGAGTTACTTGTTATTAAAAACCAGGATTCCCATGTCCTCGGTGGCAGGAGGTGCTCCCCGAGCCCGGAGGGCTGTGGAAGGACGTTTCTGCCGGGGCTGGGGCAGCACAGGGCCACTCCCTTGCCCGGCTCTTTAGAACTGATTCTTTTTATTATTTTTGTTTAATTCATTGGTGCAATTTCAATACAAACTCTAACCCTTGTGTAGCTTTGTCTTTAAGAAAACAGTAGTTAAGTACTGTTTAAAAACCTGCATAGAAATAAAGACTATTGAGATACAGTCAGCAAAGCCATCTGATAAGGCACACAAGAAAATAGACAGTAAATGTGAATGCAGAACTCCCACTCGGATGTACAGCAAAGTTCATACAGGTGCATAAATCATGGAACTCACATCACTGGTCAGAGCAGCAAAAGGTTCCAGGGAGCAGCAAGTGAATTCGGTCACGGGACACAGCGGCCATGGGAACGTGTCCCTCCTGCCCCCACCCTCCTGCCAGCCGGGATGAACCCAGGAAAGGGGAAGCAGTTCCAAGGGAAGGGCTGAGGGCACTGGAGCCCCTGCGAGTTTAACGCTGCCAGGACAACGAGACAGGGCTGGAGCCACAGGGACACAGGGACACCGCCCTTCTCACCCCTCCCTTACAGCATCAAGGGATTTTTCTTAACTGGAAAAAAAAAAAAAGCCCAAGGAAAAAACATAATAAATATCAGGGCTAACTCTGAAGAGTTTGGGCAATCCCACAGCTCTGCAGCTTCCACCCAGAACCAGCACTGCCAGCCTGGAGGTGACGGGAGCACCGGTGGGATCACGGCCCCGCATCCAACACCAAAGCTGCTCCCAGCCCAGTCTCGTGGCACAAGGGGGCTCTGCATTCCTCCCCCTCTTTCTTGGAAGCAGCAAATTTTTCCCAAACCACTTGCCAACTCACAAAACCTTTTGTGCTCCTCTGATATGTGTCATTTCCCTATCATGAGAAATTAGGTCAAGTTTTTCCACTGGTTTTTTTTTCCTCCTCAGAAGAGGCAGCTTTAAAATGATGCCTTAAAATGTGTTGTAACAGATTTTTTATATTTATGCAGGATGAACTTAACACCGGATTTTTTTTTTGCCACTTTGCTATTTATATACATATATATAAAATGTATAATGAAGCTTAACCATACAGCACAGAGATTACAATTGAACGGCACACATTCACCACCAGTGAGGGGGCCAACCCCTTTATACACCCTCTGAAAAATCTGGATAATAATATTAATAATAATTAAAATCCAAAGAAAGTACAGTATATTTAACAAAATAGTAAATATTAAACAGTGAATACTCTACTTAATAAGGACCTCGCCTTGTTTCAAGTTGGCGTCAATCCACAAAAATATACTTTTTAATCTGGTGACCGTACAATACATAGGTACTTACACCAAAGGTGATAATATATTTAGGATGCTATATACACAAAGAGTTTGGCTCAAATTTAAATTTACATATAAGTGTTCATGGCTTATTTTTCCCCCAAGGTTCCGCCTGCAAGTTTTTCCTTTTCATCTTTGAAAGCAAAAACTAGAAAGTCAAAATAAGATAAAACTATACTCTACAAAAAAGCTACAACATACAGCTTTGGCTTATATAAATAATTCATAGCAGAATGTGTTCAAAAGTACTGTATATAACTTTATATATAGTCTTCAATTCATTAGGGTATTGTTTTCTTTAATATAAAATATACATGAGCTAAAATCCGTTTCTATATTTTTCAAAGGTATGAACGTAAAAACAAATTTGTCAAACATATTCCAATTATAACTTAATATATTAATTTTATTTTGTTAATGTTCTATTTTCTAGGCTAATATTTTCTGAATATTTCATGCGAGTTCTCTATGCTCTCTTTCACTCATTAAAAAAATCACTTCTTTGACCCAATACACTTTTTTTTTTTTTTTTGCACGTGCAAAACAGGGTTTTTGTTTTTTTTTTTTTTATTTCTTATAGCATCAGCCCTTCTCCATGCACCCTCTGCAATAGAGACCCATGCCAGGTTGGGTAATAGAAAGGTCAGTTTATGTACAGTATTGCTTTCTTCTTCCTGCTTTTCTACTGCTCTGCTGCTACAAAGCAATTATTTCTTAACTACGAGTAACCATAGAGCTGACTACACACAGGGACGGTACTACAGGCGAGCCCTCGCTCGGGTGTGGAGGAGGAGGAGACACTGCGGGGACACCGCTCTGCGAGCGCGGGCCGGGCTGGGGTTACACACGAGTCCAGGTAAGTGCCAGACTAGAGATCAAACCTACGGGATTGTTCTGTTACTGTTACCAAGGGACATCTGCAGCTATACAAGAGTTTGTCGTAAGTGCCTGATGATTGGTGTATGCTACACACACTAGCACATATATATGCATGTGAAGATATATATATGCACGTATGTATATACATATAAATATACTTATTCATGTCCTTATTTATAAATTTAGATATGTCAGGACAGTTCATGTTGAGAACACAAAGCTGAGAGGGCGGCTCCGCGGGTTTATGTCACCCACGTGTCCATCCTCATCCGTTTTACCGAGGGGCTCTCCCGATCCTCTGCGTTGGGCGGCCGCCCCAGCACCACGGGCGAGTGGAAGTCGCCGCGCGGGTCCTCGCGGTCGCTGCCGTCGTAGGAGCTGCTGGAGCTGCTCAGGCTGTCGACCGGGGAGCGCCCCAGCTCCTGGCGCGACGGCGGCGGCGGCGGCTGCGGAGGCTGCGGCTGCTGCGGCGGGAACCCCGAGGGGGTGACGCGGTCCCGGGGAGGGGAGATCGGTTCCGATTTGATGTTGATGTTTTGGTTGGTGTTAATGGAGAGATTTGAACCCTGAGATAGCTGGCTGCCGGTGCTGGGGAAAGAAAACCGAAAGGTGCGAATCAGAGAATGCAGAAAGCCAAAACCGAGTGACGGTTCACGAGTCTGAGATGGTGAGGGCTTGGGGCTCAGCACAGAAATAAATGCGGTTTACTGGGAAAAGCAAAGGTGAAAAAATCATCAATTAAAGGTCTGAGCTGCACTTACAGAAGTTCAGAACAAACAAATATTTTCTATTGCCAAACATTTCAGTCACCACATAGGTGCCCCCTTGGTGAGAAGCTGAGCCTGCAGGGACACAGCTCATTAGCTGGAGACTGGAGGTGACTGAAGGGACAAACACCCCGACGCACGAATGTTTTCCGGCACAGACAAGAGGTTAAAATGTGCTGAATATTCCCTTGGTGCAGCTGCTCCAGCCCCCCTGTGCTGCCCTGCCCTGGTGCCCTGGGTACTTACACAAGAGAGCTGAGGGCTGCGGGACGGAGGTGGTGCTGCTGCCAGGCAGACACCTGCCCCAGGGACAGCATTCCTGGGGAGTTAAACCCCTGCAGGGCAGACAGGTCTGCGCTAGTCAAGGAGTAATCTAAGAGGGAAAAACAAATAAACAGCAAAATAATGTACAGGGGGGTTTATAGATATAACATACATATACACATAAACACAAAGACAAAGGCTTTCTGCCCAAAACAAATAAAGGCAGCTGATCCAAAGGAATCCAAACGTGAAAACTCTTGGAGTCTGGGAGCAATCCTGCCAAGCTCACAGGGAGCTTAACAGAACAGAAGCCTCCAAACGAAAAATTTTTGCATCCTGCTTTCAGGTCCTCCATGTTGCTGTCTGGGAGCTTGTTCCAAACCCACAGGTACAACACATTAATGCAGTGTATACACAGAGCTGTGCACCTTACAGGCCTCAGGAGTCCCAGCTGATCCCAGCAGGTGAAGCTTCTTGGGCTGCC